ATCTTTGAATAGGAGACTAATTACCCGGGTCCTCTGCCAACACAAAGTTGGTCATTGCCATTGCATGAAGAATGGTTGAAGTCAAAAGATTTTCCAGTGTCAATGCAAAATGCTCCTAAAACATTTGGTGACACATCCCCAACATTTGATTGGCAAAATGCTCCAATAAATAAGGATCCATCATTCTTCCTCACTTTGGATGCTTGACTTGTTTGTTGGTTGCAATTCTCTCCTTCCGTGGCTTTAATTGATTGTGCTTTCTTCACTAGTTGGCCAATATCTGCCTCATCCATCATTATTCATAATATTGATCACCTCATAAAATTAATTCAAACAAAAATTTAGGAAATTCAATCATCTCTTTATTCTTTAGCTATGGCATTACATTAGAGAACTGTTTTTGAGTCAAACATATTTATGCTCATAATACAAAGTATAAATTGTTGGTTGTTCGGTTAAGTTTAAGTTGCATAGGTATATTAAAAAGAGTTATGTATTTGAATGTGTCAATTGATATGGATTGACATTATTGAATACAAATGATTCCATTTAAAGATATTAGATGATTATGCCAAAGGAAAAGATCTATTCTTCAGTAATTTTCAAGATATTAAAAAAAACTCTTGATTAAGTACAATTGAAAGTAAAGATTGTATTCGAGTAAAGAATGTAAGTTTGAATTCTGTGCTTATTTCTAAGGAGATACTAAACCATCTTATTTTTACTTTTCAAACTATCAACTATCATATTTAAAATTCTAAAATGTCACGTTGGTTAATCATTAGGTTTGGATGCTAGTTAACCACTCTCTCAACTAGTAGTCAAATTAACTAATTTGTCTCAACTGACTCTTAATTTATTCGCTTTACCATAAGCTATCATTATTCAAATCTTTTTAGTCGATGGTCCTTGATTGATAGCTAAATTTGATTGTTAACATTAATATTAATATAAATTTTAAGATTAATTATAGACTTCTTTTAGGGGTTGTTTGAAAAAAGAAGTTTTGGGAGGGAGAGAAAATGAAGACAAAATTTATATTTTGAATAAATATATTTAAAATTTAATATTTTTAAAAAATTAAATTTATAAATTGATATATTAACATAATCTTAATGTAGTAATAATGTATTTGTCATTATAAATGATATATTTTTTCCTCCCTCCTTTTTGTAAGTTTGTTCTAAAAGGTCCGTCCCAAACATACCTTGTAATGTTAATTATATTTATACTTTGAAAAGTGTTAGAAATATATATTTTTTTAAAACACTTTTAATTGTTGATTAAAATTTATTGAAACTATAAAAGTATAAGAAAAAAATATTAAACTAAAAGTAAGAATCATTAAATGATAACAAAGAATGTATTAGAAGCATTTTAATTACTTGTAACTTTTTATTTATTGAAATTGTACCTACTTTCCTTAACCTCTGTTTATATTATATTGTACTTGTGATCGAATATAAAAATAACAAAAGTATGTATGTTTTTAAAAACACGGGTATGAATAACACTATGTTTAAAAGAAGTAAATATAATTAGCTGAAAAATTGAAAGCACCTGGTGCTGTGGAATTGGTGTATGAGGATGAAGATTTATTTTGAGAAGCAAACCAATCTTCAAAAAGTCTTGCAGCAGCACCCTTGTTATCTCCGCTAATAAGCTTGTTTTCTCTGCTCATGGAGGTCCCATGAGTAGCAAACCAGTTGAATGCTCCAATATTTTTACCGCTTGCTCCATCCACAAACCTCAAAAGGATCATTTGTGTGTCAACATTGGTGGAGTATCTTCCTCTCTCCTCTGCAGGGTTTTGCAGATATGCACTTGGACTCCTGTTTATACCTGCATCTACCACATCTCCTACAGGAACAAACAAAACAATGCATTAGAATTTCAAGATCCAGGCTATGCTTGGCGAACTGAGATATTTTACCTATGTTCTTAAAAATGGAACCAGGCTTGAGGTTGATGTGCGCTTGAATAATGCTTTGTTCTACTGCATTAGCAATGGTATCAAATGATTGTTTCACAAATCCCAGAGAAGTCAAAGAGTAAAGCACGTATTGCAAGTAACCGCCAGGGCCTGCATGTGTATGTGTCCCACTTATTGCCACATTTTCTTCAGTATACAAATTTCCAAACCTTCAAAATAGTTAACCATACAGCAAAAGTACTGTTATTTTTCAGTTATAAATACAGACCTTAGTTACAGAAGCGGAGAGATATTTCAATTGGTTTTCGACCAAGTTGATAACCAAGTCAATTTTGATATACCAACCATCCAATTAATTGATGTATTTGGTGCATAAAATAATTCCAAATGTTTCTATTGAACAGAGTCCAAAGTTTTGTACCTTGATTGAAGTCTCTCAAGCACCTTAATAGTAAGAAGCTGTGATGCCATTCCTGTATCAAGATTAACAAAAGCAAACCTTGGCCCTTGAAGGCTCTCAGCAACAATGAAAGTTCTAGCTCGTAGCCTGAAATGAATACCGGCTGTGTTTTGTTGAATGTTTGCATAACCCATCATGTTCACATCAGCAGCAGGACCAGTCATGTCATAGCTCCCAACTCCAATTAAGTACTCCCCATGTGTGATTTGGATCCAAGTGACCTTCTATTAACTCCAATTAAGTACTGCTTAGGTAAAAACAAACATGGAAGTGACCTTCTATGTATTCATGTGTCTCTTACCGTAGAATTTACATGAACTTAGCCGCCAAATGTGCATGTGTTAGCATATTCTAATACATATATTTTCACTTCAAGGGTACATGGAAGAATGGTTGTGGTTCTGTGTTCTTCTAAGCCATACTCATGGGTAGTTTTAACTTGTAAGCGGGACATTTTGAAAAAATTATAGATTTATTCATTTTGTTAGTCTAGGTCTGAACAGTGAATTTAAACTATTTAACTACAGTTTTTAATATATGTAATTATTGAATTGTAAATATGTATCTTTGAGCTCTACATTGAACAACTCTGGTTAATTTTAGTAAAGGATGATTATATATTTATATACAAACATTTTTATGATGATTCTTGAGGTCCCGAAATATGAGTTTTATTTTTCTTTAATCGTCCGAAATAAAATTTTAATCCTTTTAAATGCCTAAAGTTCATATAGGTTTTAAGTGGAAAGTATGTCATAGATGCCTTCCAAAAAGGGGATGTGATAAGGTCATTGGATTAATGGCCAACCTACTAAAAATTAATAAAAATAATAATAAATTATAGACTAAACTCTCATTTTAGTCCCTAAAATAATAAGCTTCAAGCATTTTAGTCACTGAAATTTTAAAAATGTCACATTAGTCCGTAACTTCCATCTCCGTCACGCATTTAAGTCCCTAGACACAAACACCATTAATAGATAGTAACAGAATATTGAGTGTGATTAATTATGTAGCAAAAATAACGTCATATGTAGTATGATATATATTTTTATTTCATTTTAGTTCTTAAAATTATCACTCGTCGAACATTTTAGTACTAGAGATTGTTATTGACTAGCATTTTAGTCTCTTACTCTTAAAACCTTTCAACTATTCATCCTTCTTATTCATTCTCATGGAAACTTCTCTTCTCACCTTAATCATTTTCAACCTCTTTCTCCCTCTATCTTTCTTACTCTTAGCCACTCTCTCATTTGCTCATTACTTTCTCTAAATTAGATCCCTAATAATGCAGGACACATACATTATAGCCAAACATACTTAGGCTATGGGAGCAAAATGGAAAAATAAGACCATTAGCAATATCATTCTAGATTAGAACTAGAATTAATCCCCAAAGTTAGAGCTACAAATGCATCTGCAGTAAAAAGTGGGAAGCAAAGTTTCTTTTTATTTCTTCCTAGCCATTACAACAAAGGAAAAAATTGCACAGCACTAAATGGACCAAAGTAATTGAGATGGGCAATAGAAAAAGGATGTGGGGGGCTAAAACCCCATCTATTGGATGCAACTACTTAATGTCTTACTCTGTTATCATATTTGTATTGTTAAGATCTTTGGCATGTTGAGCCTACGAATTTGGCCTTCACTACCACAACCTGTACTAAAGAATTTTTAACTACCAATTCCAGCTCTTTTTTTAAATTCTTTTGTTGGTGTGGTGGAGGAGGTTTTATTGGACACTTGAGAGAGTGGCTAAGAGTAAGAAAGAGAAAGCGAGAAAGAGGTTGAAAATGAGTATGGTGAGAAGGGTAGTTTCCACGAGAATGAAGAAGAAGGATGGATAGTTGAAAGGTTATAAGAGCAAGGACTAAAATACTCGATAGGTGATAATTTCAAGGATTAAAATAAAACAAAAATATATCATACCACATACATTATTTTTATCACATAATCAATTATTTGTGTCACTTAACGTGACATGTCCGCAATATGTTACTATCTATTAACAGTATCTAGGTCTAGGGTCTTAAATATCTAATGAAAATGAAAGTCAAAAACTAACATGATATTTATAAAATTTCAGGAACTAAAATACTTGATGCTTACTATTTTAGGGACATAAATTATAATAAATAATAAATAATATTTAAAAAATATTTAATTAATTATTTTATAATTTTTAAAATTAAAATATAGGCTTGGCGGGATAGCCCGCCATTAGCCCGCATTTTGGTGGGCTAAAATTGAGTGGGCTAGACGGGTCGATGGATCCAAAATGTTCAGCCAGCCTAATAATTTTGGTGGGTTAGGTAAGGAGGCTCGTCAAGGCAAACCCACTTTGACAATCCTGTAAATTGACGGGCCTCACATTTGAGCATCTTTGAAACAATGAATAGTTGAACTACCAGATATAAAAAGAGGGGAATGAGAAAACCTATAGAAAGAAGCTATTGAGAAGCAAGCACTACGCCAGAAATTGCATTTGGGCCAGGTTCATGTCCACATCCTTCATCTACCGAGTGGCAAAACATGAAGCATTGGGTAGCACATTTGACCAATGTAATGACACAGTTGACAGGGGGTTAGGGACTACCCCCATTCATGTCAGGTCAGATGCCATTTAACCCTACTCAGTCCCCACCACCATGTATGCCACCCCCTTTCAATATGGCTCCTCAAATGCAACCGATGGCAGATATTGGTCCTCAAACACCTGTAGATGCACCTTCTACCAGCCATAGAGGCAGTTGCACACCAATTGCATCTGTTGAGATTTCAGAGGTATTGACGCTACAGTAAATCATCATTTACCTTATAATGTTTAATACTTTTGATTTAATTATTGCATAATATAACAAACTTTCATTTGTAGGGTGAACATGACTGTATGCTATACTTGAACAAACCTTTTCGCCTGGTTGCAAGAGGTAGAGTATATCATACAGTGGCTGGGGACTCCTTACATAATATGGCTCTTCCTCCAAAGCATGGTAAGGTTTCTATAGAGGTAGTGCAACGACATGAGGAGGACTCTACACTGCCTGTCCCAAATGAAGAAGCAAACTTGTATTCCCTAAGAGATGCCATTGGTACTTATGTTTCTTGGCCATTATCCCTAATCACTTTAAGACCCAAGGTATGTAAACGTGTTTCTTTATAGTTCCTATTGCTAGATGTTACAATTAAAAGGGTTTGTTCTTTTCAGGTTGCCCCTTCATCAGGTAAAGGGTTAGGGAAAGAGATAAGCTACTCAAAAGAGTTCATTGTTGGTCCATCCAATAAAGGTAGCACTGGTTGTGTGTCATCGGAGATTCTTAAGTTGGCAGAAGCCCAAGCTGCTGCATGCTTGGATATGATGAAGCTGCTTGTGAGAAGTGATCAAGCCATTGATATAGCTACATTTCAACTGACAAGTGAGCATTGGGGTAAAGAGTTTTGTGACATTGTGGGGAAGGAAAACATCATAGAAGTCATATGTCGACATTGGTTGAGTGCCTCTAGCATTAATCTTTACATACGGTACATTAAATTTCAAATTATATAGTCAATTTATAACTTTTAACGCCTCATTCATACCACTAATGTTCAATTCTACTTGTGCAAAATAAGATATTTGTGTGAAGCTTATTTGCATGGGACAATGGCAAATAGATTCTCATTTATATCTTCGTATGAAATGGATGAAGCGCTCAATCCAAACCCACATCAACATATAACTGAAATGTTGAAGCGTCATATGGGTGAAGATCACTTGATTTTTGCACCTTATAATGTTGGGTAAGTCAATTGATCTCATTGAGACTCTGCTTTATGTTTTATAATTTAGCATATAACTTAGTAATCTTAAAATGATATTTATGCTCGTGGTAGGCAACATTGGGTCTTGGTTGCCATCAATACTGGTGACGAGACTATCTATTACATGGACCCTCTACGCAAGCAGCTGAAGATCAGAACACACATGCAAAACCTATTTAATAAGTAAGCATTTATTTATATCAATACACTATGATTAATGTTAAATGGTTCAAATGTATCTAATTTCTTTGGTTCACGTACGACTCTTAGTGCTCTTGTCACGTATCGAGCAGAGAGGGGAGTGCAGCCCTCTAGTACAAAGACGAGTCAAACAAAATGGGTCACTGTACAAGTAAGACTATATCATATCTCATGTTTTTTATTTTTAGCTAAATCGTAATTGCACTGTATATCATTCATAGTTAATGCTGTTTTATTTGACTTTTATCTTTCACAGTGTCCCAAGCAAACAAATAATGACGACTGTGGATATTATGTGTGTCTATTCATTGGGGATGTTTTGCACCATGGACAAACTGTAATCTCAGTAAATGTAATAATCTTACACTTTCAAATTCGTTTGCCATATGCTTATTATTTCACTTAATTAAATAAGCTTTGTTTTCCCTGTCCTTGTATTTCAGTACTTTCCAGAGGTGCAGATTCCAACTTTTCCTGACAACAAAATTTATCAATTTCAAAAGGAGTGGTGTGCATATCTGTACCATAGATATTTAAAGGACCCGTTAAGCACAATAGATTTTTAGTGTTCTTTTACAATATTTAGACAATTTTCTTTCAACCCTAGGAAAAATGTGTAAATATGAGACTCTGATTTGATTATAATATGTATATGTGAGTTGTAATTCAATAATACAATGTGCAAATAGCTCTGAAATTCTACTATATCAGACTCTGTTTGAGAATTATATTTTGTTTCAATTGGTTCTGAATACTGTATAATACCAGGTATGCTATTAAAAAAGGTTTTATGCCAGTTTCATTAAAATATTACAAAATTTTTCTTAACTTTGGAGAGCGGTTCCGCTCTCCAAAGTTCACTTCTGAGAGCGATTACACGCATAACCGCTCTCTAAAGTGAACTTCTGAGAGCGGTTCAAATAATAACCGCTCTCAGAAGTGAACTTAGAGAGCGGTTAATATTGAACCGCTCTCAGAAGTCACTAAAGAGAGCGGTTATGCGTTAAACCGCTCTTACAAATTATAGTATAACCGCTCTCCAAAATGAACTTCTGAGAGCAGTTCTAATTTAACCGCTCTCCAAAATGCTATCATTTGCAAGAGCAGTTACGCGCTTAACCGCTCTCTTTAGTGAACTTCTGAGAGCAATTAACCGCCAAACCGCTCTCCAAAATGTACATTTCAGAGCGATTATTTAACCGCTTTGCAAAAGTGACGACATTGGATAGCACGTGATTTTAAAGTACCACTAACCGCTCTCTTAGTTCAAGCGAAACCGCTCTTAGATCTCATTTTTGGCGTAGTGAAGTGTAACACCCTAATTTTTATTGCATTTTTTATTTTCAAAATGGAGAGTTTCTAAAAAAGGAAAAATATTTTTAGCTCAAGCAAGAATTTCTAGCTAAGCGAGAAGGGATAAGGTAAAAATGTCTCGCTCAAATGAAAAAGGGTGAAAGAATTGAGAGCTCTTTCGAAGGTTTTCTATCAAGTGAGAGTATCTTACTCAGGCAAAAATATCAGCAAATAAGTATCAATTTTTATCTAGTTTTCTCGCTTAAGCGAGAATTCTCAAGAAAAAGAATATTTAAGTAACTGTGACTTTTTTAAAACTTAGATCACAAGGCAAATAACTATTCTCATCTTATTCTCAATTCTCTCACTCTCTTCCCCAGCTAGAAAATACTTTTGAACTTCGAAACCTGTGTCAAAATTGAGCTTGGATATTTTTTCCACATGATTTCTAATAAGTTTCCTTGAGATTATATTTCTAATTTCACTTTTATTCTATTATTTTTGTTCTTAAAATTTACTCTACTTTGTAATGTTTAAGAATAACTTAATGCAAAATAGTTTTTGTAAAGGCATCATAAATTTAAAAAAATTAATTAATCGATTTAGTTCTAATAATTACCAATTTGCCATATGTATTGGATGATAAAATTTTATATGTATATATATAAAAAAAAAAAAAGTTAGAAAACCAACTAAAAAATTGGTTGCCTGATGTCCAGTCAAATTCTCATCACAGAAAATAAAATAAAATAAAATTATCATCATCACCTTGATTTGCATATGCATTTTTGACATCCATCACACCTTCAGCAGCATCGTCATCTTTCTTGACATTTCATTTTAGTGTTCACCAATAGGTCTAAGTATTCTTTCCTCCTCAGACTAATCAATCGTCTTCAAATTCTTAAAAATTTTCATAAGGAAATCACCATACCCAAGACAGTACAACTTAATACACCTTTCTTCATTAATCCCATAAATGTCACACAAACATTCCCAACAATATGTAAAATACGTTGTCCTTACACCCTTCAAAATCATTACATGGACCTCGTTACCAAAAAGACCAGACGAGATGTGAAATTTCGTGAAAGAAATCATCACAATCATTGAAAGTTGAAACCCTCAGGGTCTGAGAACTTACCACAAGTTCTAATCAAGTGAATTCATCCTTTGAATGAGAAGGTTGAATTTAATTAGCAATCAAATGCATGGTGCTACAATTAATAGATATTGCCTCTTCAACGGACAAATATAGCAACTGAAAAAATTTGTTATGCCACCACTAGTATATTTCATTTGCACAGTTAAGAAAAAGGCAGTCAATTCTGATTCTATAAACTATTATAATCAGGGTACACAGAAAGATGCAAGTGAATATATAAATCAATTGAAAATTAAAAAAAAAATCTCACTCAATTCCATAACTTCTAATGAATTTTAACCACAATTAAAAATAAAAATATATTAAAAATGTATTTCTTTTCCTACCCTCCACATAACCAAATTGTGACAACAGCTCTCTCCCCGCACCCTCCCCCAGAAACATACCACTATTATTTTATTGTATGTCGATCCCGCGTTTTGTAAAAGCAACAAATTTAGCAATCAATCGGGAACCAATATATGCTTTTCCAAAATACATGTAAAAGTACAACCGTCCGCAAGAGAATGTTCTAAAACAATGGAACATTCTTTACTAATTATTTGATTGTATAAAATCAATTGGCCCATTTTAGCGAATTATCAGCTGTAACATTAGAATTCAATGCAAAGTAACCCTAAAACTGATTATGACTGGGATCTAAAAGGAAGCCAACAGTTACAAAAGCGCAAAATCAAATCATAAGTAACTTGTTCAAGCCACAAGGCAGTCAATACCAAGCTAGTACAGATAGTAAATGGACAGCTTGAGCGAAAATATATTCCCTGTCAGCATGATCAGTTTAAGGAAAAACTTTGAACAATAATTAAACATAACTAGAAACATCAGTATATGAGCAATTTCATTGCTGTTGTGACCCTGATGCTGATGTTCCAGTTTCAGCTGGGACAGACGCAGCAGCCTGTCCAGACCCCGGCTGCATGGGGTGCTGATAGGGATGATTTGCAGGTGGTGGGTGGGATGGAGCCATTGCAGCATTGTATGGAGGTGGGTACTGTTGTTGATAAGGGGGAACTGGTGGCATATAGCCATATGGAGGATAATACTGATGATGATATTGGCCAGGTGGAGGCGGCATCATTGGATGACCATAATGTTGCATTTGCTGTTTCTCAGAACCGGGCTTGTTCTCCCCTGACCCGGTAGGCCCACCAGGAGGACCGTCTTGAGATGGAACAAGAGCACCCATTCTTTGAGGATCCATTGATGGATAGTAGCTACGTTCCTGCTGAAGAGGTGGTGGATTGTTGTAGTAAAGCATTCCTTGGGTTTGGTCCTGGTTCTGCTGCTGTGATATAACTGCCCGAGGCAACAATCCACTATGGGCCACAGATGCTTGCTGCCTTGCTTGATCGGAGCCATCTGACTCAGGTTTTGATGTCTGAGGCCTACCCCACATCAGCTTTAGCCTTAGGCCCTTAATAACCAATTTGTTGGAGAGGTCTTCTGCTGCCTTTTCTGCACCTTCTCTGGTAGTATATGTTACAAAAGCACAAGCTCGTTGGAGAACCATTTTGATGGATTCAATTTCTCCATGGGCATAGAAGTGATCTCGCAAATCCTGCTCAGTGACCCTAGCATCAAGTCCACCAACATAAAGTGTTTTAATGCTCTCATCCTCAGGAGCCTCCAGAGTGGTCATCTCTCCTGCCTTGCCAAGTAGTTTCAAAGCCACTGGATCATTCACCCTGAATGTTTTAAAAGCATAATAGCAAATTAAACAAAGTCAAAAGCATGAGGCAATATTAAAAATGTCATCAACAATGCAATTGAAAATATCATCAGTATCTGTACTAGTCACAAGAAAATCATGTAGGGAAACAATAAAAGATATGACTTTTGCAACCAGCTTGCAACAAGAATCAGCCATAATTGCAAGTAAAAATGGCAGTTATTATTTAGTAATCAATAATTTCCCCCCACTTTGGATCCTTAATGCCAAATAGTGGCTTTGACCCATAAACCTGACCCCACTTGCTAAATCGGGCTTGATTGTTGTTTAAAACACAGCTCCTACAAGCATAACTACCACATGACTTTGCTTGAAAAAAACCAAAACAGCAAGTTTGTTATCATTTTTACACAGCAGGTCATCACACAGAACGATTGCAAAGGAACTAAGCGAATCCCTAATAAGTCAACAAGTATCTCCATCACAGAAATGAAATTGAAAAATGCTCAAGTTGATGCCCAGTGCCAATGGCAATACATAGAAAACTAAATTGGAATAAAAAGAGCAATTGAAAGATAGATCATGCAGGACGAACTCACAAGCAAATTAGGAAGTCATTTACAACCATACATACCCATAATAACGATCTTTAATATTTTGTTGAGACAACTCCCCAGTTACCGGCATCTCATGTCTATATGGGCACTCAGCTCCTCTAGTACATTCACCCCTTATGTAGAAACTGCAAATGTGTGCCCGGTTTCTTTTGTAATAAGGGGTTGTCCTTTGAAGCTTCAGGATAGTATCATTTGGGCGGACTTTACCATAAGAGGATTCATAATCTATACCAGCTCTAGCCTGCACAATTCTTACAATCTTAGTAAAAAGATCATCATGAAGTAATGACCACCACAGCAAAGGAAATAAAAAAAACAGAATTTAAAAAAAAAAAAAAACACAGCACTGCAGAAATTTGAAATCTTAATGGCTGTTGCCAAAGGAGTGTATGAAAATCAGAATTCCATGGTTGAGGAATGTAAGAAAGCAAAACAACTTGATTGCACCTCAATTAGTTATGGCTCTTTGCAGGAAAATGTAATGAGCAGATACAGGTAACAAAAGTAACTAAAAAAAAAAAACAATACAAATCACAAAAATAAAAATTCACTCACAAGTCATACTAGTAATGGATTGACAGCAAACTCATTAATACTATCTTTTTTTAAACCAAGCAGGCCAATAAATTGATGGTGGGAACTGGGTTATAAGAATAACTCCAAGCTGAGAAAGAAGTTGAGAGGGAGGATAGAGGATGGAGCGGCAAACAATATAGTATGTTTCCTAAATTATTTTTTCTTAAATTTGGGTTTAGCCTAACTCAACCTCAAATGCTAGCTCATGATGTAAGGATTGACTAAACCTTTATAAAAATTCTACTTTGACCATATATGTAGTCAATGTGGGATTTTGATATTATCCATAAGTTCAAAAAAAAATAAAAACAAAATCTTCAATAATTTTTTTATCAACATAACTCACATCAATAACCAGTTTGAGCGAAAAGAATAGAAGCCAAAATAAAGGGACAGGCAAATGTGGGAGTTTAGTTGGATCCTTGAAAAAAAAATTTAATGTCTAGTTTTACCGGTTTGGGAGAAGCAAAGAGCCAAAATATGTATGGCAATGAGCAATCTATGCCAAAAAAGCAAATGGTGTAAGTTCAATCATTTGGCAAGGCACTAAGGCAGAACATGTGCAGCAGTGTTTTTGATACACACTATCAATAAAGAAAATATGTGAAGACATGAAGGTAAAACACACTGATAAAACATATTAAGGAGTAGTACGATGTCAGCATACTTTGAAGACACTACAGCCTGCTGCTATACTTTAAGGCAGAGTGCAGATTTACCAGTTACGAGGGCCTCCTTTTTCTCCCTTGTTGAATTTTAGGACTGAGTTATGTTTATGGCTTCTCTGCTCTTCTAATGACTGTTTCATGGGAGTTACCCATTACCAACATGCAGAAAAAGAGACTGGACAACAGTGTTCTTTCTTGATTGTTTACAGTCAGTGTTCCCTACTATTTTTCCATACCTTTATTTTTGTTTTGGAGATTGTCCTATCTTATCCTTTCTGGTCCCCTAGTTATACTTCATTTCTTTTCTCTATTTCTCTCTACTAAAACATTTTCCATTGGAAAAGATATGGTTTCTAAAAATTAAAATCTGGATGCATGTCAGGATGTTCATAATTTGCATGCACTATATTTACTAAAAAATAATGATTCGTCATGGCAGATGTTAGACATTTGACAATTCAAACAATTCCGGTTCAAGCAATAAAATTTCAGTAATTACAGTCCATACGTGAAACTTATCATAGTAGCAAAAGTATATCTATCAGACAGGTGCAACCATCCTGCATTCATACATATCTCAAGTTCCCATAATAAAAATAAAATATGAGATATTTGACTAATCAGAGTATATTCTTTCATATGCAAATTGAACCAAGAACCATAACTTTAGGAGCAAACAATTTGAATCTTGATTCTTGAAACAATTACAATTTACAACTGTTAAACACCACTATTTTCCAATCTTTAATTAGTTCAACAATCATCAACTACTATGAATTAACATAGGAAAACATACCCTGCGGTCATGCTCTTCAGCAAAATACTCCCTGTTAACATCACTCTTTGGAATGGCATCATTGGAATCAATACTGAGAGCAGTGTCCCGGACTTGAACTGGTAGTCCATATTCAAGATCCAGGAGGCACACTTGACAGACATTTTTCAATTTACTACACGTCTGGCAGATTTCAGTTTTCTTATATCTTGCATCTCGACCAGGTCTCCATCGAAAAACAGTGAATGGCCGTGTACAAATCTTGCACTCCTTGTCATACTCTGCTCTTGTCTGCATTAAAAGTGACGCATAACATAGAACAATTAAACAAATAATTAGAATCCAACCATCTAATTCTCTAACAAAACATTCTGAAATTCAAAAATTATTAATCTGCATATCTATGATTCCCTCAACACCTTAGTCTTTTTACATATAGTACACCAGGAGATCATGACATAATTATAATTTCATTTCAGCATTAAATACTCTGATCGACAAGCTTAATGTTCATACCTCCATGATCCCTGTCCCCCAAAAAAAAATTGAAGTAATTACTTAATTTTAAATTTTTAATAAATAAACAATGGAAGAACAGTTTTATTTCCTAGAATCTCCAATTTTACTAAAACTGAAAATACAAAAATAAAATCAAATAAATAAAAAAATATAATTCATATGAAAATTCCTTGAAGTATTAAGCGAAAATGCTTCAGAATTCCAAGTTAAGACAGTTGTAAACAAAAACATTAGGTTGTCTCAATAACAAGAAACTAATCACACATCCTCAATATAATAAAATTGCAAAATTCAAACTATAACTATTTGGGGGAAAGTTCACTCTTCAATTCCCAAAAATGAAGTTCCATGAAACAAAACCCACTCAAGATATGACCCAGTTGTTCGTTCAACCTTCAGTCCTCAATAAACACACAAAACAATAACCATCATCATCGTTATTAACCCTGCTACGACTCAATAAACCACTCATTTTCACAAAAACAAACTATAAACACTAAGAAAATAATAAACATAAAAATGAAAGATGATACGAACGTAGAGAGAGAGAGAGAGAGAAACGAACCATTCGAACGTAGGGGCTATCGCCGAGGCAGGATTCGCAGATGATGGGGAAATCGGAACGTTCCCAACCATCGGCTTCGTGGTCTCTCAGCAACCTATGCGCCATTTTTAGGGTTTCAACAACAACAACAACTGTAATCGCCCCTTTCTTCACCCTTTGTTGCACCAAAATTCAAGGGTTTCAATTCAACTGAAGAAAGGAGAAGAAGAAGAAGAAGCAGAAAAGGGTGAGAATTTGTGGTTTATAGCAGAATCCAAATCCAAATCCAAATGAACGATTGGGTTTGGGTGCTATCCATATCCGTAAGCTGCCTATATACAACGGGTCGGATCGGGGCTCCTTTTATTTATTGATGATTTTCTCTAGGTTTTATTAAATTATTTGATCTTACTCTTATTTTTGAGAAACCATATATTTGATCTCTTAAATAATAAATATAAAATACGTAAAATAATATTAAAAAATTATCCAATATGTGTTTAGATTTTTTTAAAAAAATATAGTTTAACAAATATTTGGGTTAGTATAATTTTTTTTCTTTGAACCTCTCTTCAATATATATAATAAAAAAATAATAGAATATAAAAATTAAAATAATAATACTAATAAAAATAATAATTTAATAGAATAAGAATAAAATATTTGTTATTTTACTTTTTAATGCCATATTCTTTTTATTTTCAACTTATGCTCTTTTATGAGATAAAATTTATACTTACAAAATAAAATAAATTTAGAATATTTTTCTTTGTCAACTTCTTTTTCGATAAATTTTAGGAAAGATTCACGAGTTCCATCTTGTCTTGTCGACGTAAAATAATTTCTCTTGTCGATTTCTTTTTTAACAAGTTTTAGGAAAAATTTGTGAACTCCATCTTATTTCGTGGACTTAAAATAATTTTTTTCTTGTCAACTCCTTTTTTGGTAAGTTTTTATTGTTTTCAAGTTGGGACTTGAAAATTTCTAATTTATTTATATAAAATCAGGATAAAAATATAAACTAAAATTTTGTATATAACAGGCAATGCAAAAACATGAGCAAATTAAAACTTTTTCATGAATAAAACCATTCACTAAATTTACGAACATGATAAAATGAGATAAAATCAATCGTAAATTTAATAATTTTAGTATATCAAAACAATTTTAGAAACATAGATACTAAACTTTTAGTTATATTAATAAATACAATAATTTACAAATTATTATTCACAAGATACAAGACTTAGGATAATAGTTATATAATCAAAATATACTAAGTTCTAGAACAATCATTATCCATATCCAAAATACTGCGGGCCTAGTGCTAGTCATCGTCATGTCATCCCTTTATTTCTGCCAAATCTTTGGAATCAAAATCCCTATCTGATTTGAAATAGAGATCGCCAGAATTAGCCGCAACGTCAACACCCATGAACCACTCAAAAGTTACTCAGTCGGCCTTCCGAAATGATCATGGTGATGGTATGTACATAGGTAGGTCATTGTTGCCAGTATCCTAACCGTACCTCTATAAATATATATGCATAGAATATAGTGAATCTTATTATTTATAGAAAAATCTAAAGGAATACTATAATATAATTCCAATTCCAAAATATAAATAAAGTTGGGTATTATCATTGACTATGGCCACTTTAAAGTAACAAGTTCTTTGATACTCATTAAATATGTAATTTAATCTACATTATACATAACTGTCTATTAATATAATTCGCTCTCAGGGTATCTTCATCCTTGTTTCCTGTAACATCCTTATTTTATACAAAATCATAACAAAATAATTAGTTAAAAAGGAATAATTAATTCAAATCTATTTGCGAGTCGAGTATGAAGCGTGTAACTATATAACATTTTATTGATTTTACTTTATACTTATAAAAATTTAGAGAACAAATCCATGAAAATTAAACAAGTTAAAAAAAAGAAACATGAAATAACATGAATAAATATATGGTTCTGAAGAGTTTACAGTGAACTAATCTTATCAAATATACATCAAAATACATTAGGACTCATTTTACAACATTTACAAAATACAAAATATGATAAGTTCTAATGAGCAGAATATCCATCACACGACCAGAGAGACACTAGTCATCTCCATGTCATCCCTCTATCATCGCGATATCATAAAAAAACACGATAATCAAACCCAAAGAGATAGGGTAGAGTCCCCCTTACCTTAGATTGAAGACCCACACTTGACTTTAACCACGAAAGTGCTCCCCACACGGATTTCGGCCTAAATACATGGAAAAACTCCATGAGAATCCAAGGAAATCGAGAAACAGAAAAAGGAGATGAAAAACGAAAAGCCTAACCATTAAAACTCACCTCCAAGCATTCCTAACACGAATCCAACCTTCAATCAAGCTCCTGAACGGCTTTGGAGGCAATTTGATCGGTAGGATAGGGTTTTGAATTGAAAGAATCGAAGAAATTTCGAAGGGAAGGTGAGAAATAATCTTTCTCAAACCCTAACCCCCTTTAAATCCTCTCTAGTCACGACACTCTCGCTACAACGAGACCTCGCTGCAGCAACTCCCTCTCTTGCTGCAGCGAAAAACTTAAACAAAACTGCACTCTGATTTCTGCAGAATCTCGCTACAACAAGACCCTCTCGCTACAACGAGACTGCACCCAAAAATGCAGCCCAAACTGTGACTTTGTCGCTACAGCGAGAGACCTTTCGCTACAGCGACAAGGCGACAGTTTCATCTTTCTCCTCCAGTGTCTTCTCATTACAGCAAGAATGCCCTGCAGCAGCATCCACTCTTAGCCAGCACACACACACACACAGATATATATATATATATATATATATTCAATCTCTTCCAATCTAGTCATAATTCACATTACACTCCAACTATACTATGCGGGCTTTCCAACAATCATTTTCATACATGTCCACATCATTATACACATATATCCATCATCTTCATGTCAATCAACACATAAAATATATGTATATAGATACTTAATAATTAAACAATATTACCAAAAATTTGGAGCGTTACACGCAACTACACAGATACGTGTGCTGACTTAGCCCTTTTTAGCAAAAGCATGGTTAGGATTATTAGTCAGGAAACGAGTGTGAGGCCTGTGGTGCTCCTACTCTCATTTGTTTTGCGCAATTCAAGAGGAGCATCCACCACTCTCATTTCCCTATGACTTCTCAGTCGTCTCCATCTTCCACTCTCCTAGTGTACCTCTGAACTATCCGTACTCATCCTTATCATATTCCATTCCCATTTCACTTTCTCTTTCCATATTTCCCATCTCATCTCTATATTTCTCACTATCTATTTATTCACATATTATTCATGCTTTTATATCTTTCTTTTATGAAAGTTCATTATTATATTACACATAAATCAATCATTGCCGAGAGTTGGTTTCCTCAGACTCAGTCCACCATTTACATGCATATACAGTCAAATTAAAATCATACACATAATCAAACACCACAAAACAGGCTTCAAACATAATAAAAACATGTTCTCATCCAACATATACTTAAAATCATACATTTCATCACAACATCTTCATGAATACAAGGATACCACTTCCTTAGTAACAAAATAGAGCTCTCATTACCTTAAAATGAAAGTTTAATAAAGGGTTTTCGAAGGATCTTGCTTAAAAGGCTGAGTTCTTTCTAAATATCATAAGAGTTTCTCTTTAGAGGAGGAAGAACAAAAAAATAACCAAAGAAATAGAGAACAAAGCTCCAAAACTTACCAAAGAACAAGAGAAGTGATCTTCTACACTTTGATCAGAGAAAAGTTGGGGTTTTTCCAAAGATTTGTTGAGAAAATAAGGAGAGAAGTCAGAGAGAACATATGAGGGTCGTGACTTGGATTATAATCTAAGTTTCTTAACTTGGAAACTCTTAAATACCCCTCAATTCGCGATATTCTAACTACAGCGAGATCTTCTCTCGCTACAGCGAAAAACCAGACAAAATTGCACTTTGCTGTCTGTCATTCTAGCTACAGCGAGAGCATACTCGCTATAACGAGAGAGCATCAGAATGCCTGATTTTGAACGCTGATTTCTCGCTACAGTAAGACACATTTCGCTTCCACAAAAAATCCTGCAACTTAAATATTTAAAACTCTCTTAATTTCAAGTAACATACACTAACAACTCATATCAAATACAAAACTAATAAAAATAAATAGGGGTGTTACAACACTCTCACCCTTTTAGGAATTTCGTCCTCGAAATTCACTAGCTTAAAGGAGATGAAGATAGGTCATCCTCATTTTATCCTCAAGCTTCCAAGTTGCATCTCCTTCATTATTTGCACTACATATCACTTTCACAAGAGATATCTCTTTGCCCCTTAATTGCTTGACTCGAAGATCTGCAATCTTTACCGAAAATACATCATAAGAGAGGTTCTCTTAAACTTAGACAGGATCCAGTTTGATCACATGAGATGGATCCAGAATGTATTTTCTGAGTTGTGATACATGAAAAACTGGATGCAGATTTGAAAGACTGGGTGGTAAGGCAATTCGATAAGCTAATGAGCCAACTCTTTGCAAGAAACTTGGACGACAACTTTCAAGTTTTCAAGGCTCTACCTACTCCAGTGATAGGTGAAACTTTCAAGAATACACGATCCCCGACTTGAAACTCTAACGGTTTCCTCCGGTCATCATAGTAACTTTTCTGTCTGTCTTGAGAAACCTTGATCTTTTCCCTAATCATCTTGATCTGATCGTTCTGCCTTTGAACTAAGTTAGGTGCATATAGAATTGTTTCTCCAGACTTGTACCGACATAACGGTGTTCTACATTTCCTTCCATACAATGCCTCGTACGGTGCTATCCCGATGCTAATGTGATAGCTATTGTTATAGGTAAATTCCACTAAGGATAGACACTCCTCCCAAGTTTCTTGTTGCTTTATCACACAGGCTCATAACAAGTCTTCAAGAGTTTGGATAGTTCCCTCTGTTTGTCCATCAGTTTGAGGATGATATGTTGAACTAAGTTTCAACTTAGTCCCCAATGACCTTTGCAAGCTTTCCCAAAATTTAAAAGTGAATCTCGAATCTCGATCAGACACGATGCTTGTAGGCACTCCATGTAGTCGAACAATCTCTTTGACATACAACTCTGCTAGCCTCTCCATCTTATACTTCATATTGATTGGAAGAAAATGAGCAGTCTTGGTCAGTCTGTCCACGATCACCATATCAATCATGATTCTGTTTGGTCTTTGGCAAGCCGGACACAAAATCTATGGAGATATCATCTCACTTCCACTTAGGAATTTCTAGTGGTTGTAGCTCCCCCGGCATACGTTAGTGCTTCGTCTTGGATTTTCAA